CAAATGTACTTCATGCAACAACAATTTTTTGTCATAATCCTGTGATATTTTTAGAGCTTATGCAATACAGCTCTAAAGCACAACATGCAGTCATAAAAAGAGTGTAACCTTCGAAAACGAAGTAGATATTTAGTGTAGATATTACTAACCTAAGCCCTGCAATTTTGAGTCTATTTGAGAACTCTGGAAAGCTAGTTTCTCTTATCAGAATTTCTTCAGGAGATTCCCACTGTCAGATATATTGTAGGGATGCAGTTAAGAAGGTTGAGTGGCTGACAGCAAACCACTGAGATTGTGTATTTGAAACAAAAATGCAGCACTCTGATCTAGTGGCATACAGGCATCGTCAGATTGACAGTACTCTAGCCCAATAATGTTGGGGGATCCAGTGGGGGCGGCAGTCATATTTCAGGGTGACCGTGCCACTCTTTATCACAACCCTGCTAAAAGTGCCAGTACGTGCGCTCATTGGCGCCCCTTCAGCTGGTGGCGCCCTAGGCGACCGCCTAGCTCGCCTATGCCTAGAAACGGCCCTGGATGCCACCACTGCAGCATTTCAGTGTGAAGTCACATCCAATATGCGGCTACGTCTGGACAAGACTGCTTACTTAGACAGAAAGAGAGGTCTGTTTTGTTTTTATGTGTTGTTTATGCATGGGGAAAAACTCATTTAAAACAATTGCACAGTCTTGTTGCTCTGAATATGTACTTCGATTCTTCTTATCTGGCAAACTGCATTGAAAATGGCCAAAAAAATACCTCTTGCATCAACGTGCATCAGACAGACTGGATTGTGGTCGTAACTTCTTGCATCATGTTTGTTTTGTTTTGTTCAAGCAGTGCAGATACACAGGGATTTCTGGTGGATCTAGTGGATGGACTGCTTGAAGGAAATAATGAACATTTTCTGAAAATGTACTCACCCTCAGGCCATCCTTCTTAATAAAGCACCTCTCAGCAATGAAAATATAGCTGTACTCCAATTACTTACTGGTGTAGCTATCCAGTTTTGGATGAATCACGTTCACTTTTCCATACTTCTCTGCCTCTTTGGCTGCCTTTGCAGACCACGTCCCTGTGACCAGATAATCAGCACACCTGTCCTCCTTCAGACCAATTAGATTCAGAGGAACCCCGCTGAACTGTCCCGAGCCTCCGCCTTGCAGGAACAGTATCTTATAGTTTTCAGGGACATTCCTGTTCAGAGTGAATGCAAAGAATACATTTGCTATGGATTTTGAATGAAGACATCTCCAATTTCTAGTTGAGGGACAGATGTAAACACTCACAGAAGTTCACGGAGAAGGTTTTCAGTAGTGTTTATAATCTTGGAAAAATCAGACGATCTGTGGCTCATTTCTGGATGCAAGAGAGAAATAAACACCTCAGAAACATTGTATTACACACAGAAATTAAAACATTAAAAAATGCAGATCCTTACCAAGAATGCTTATCCCAGTGCCACTGCAATCCAGCAGCTCCTTCTGTGCTTGGAGTAAAACCTAAGAATAGAAAAATATCCAATAAATAACTTAAACTTTTATTTCATTCAAAACAGGTTTGCTTTGCCTTTACTACCATTAACAAAAGGTCTTTAGAACTGGCTTTTAAAGGAATTGATCACTCAGGAATGAACATTTTCTGAAAATGTACTCACCCTCAGGCCATCCAAGATGTAGATTAGTTTGTTTCTTCATGGGAACAGATTTGGAGAACTTGCTCAGCAATGGATTCACTGCAGTGAATGGGTGCCGTCAGAATGAGAGTCCAAACAGCTGATAAAAACATCACAATAATCCACAAGTAATCCACACCACTCCAGTCCAGCAATTAATGTATTATGAAGTGAAAACCTACGTGTTTATGAGAAACAAATCCCCAAAAAGGTGTTAAAAAAGGTGTTTTTAACTTTAAAGCATTGCTTCCGGCTAAATACGAGTCCTCTATCCATAATATTGCTTTCTCCAGTGAAAAAGTCATCTAGTCTGAATCAGGAGAGAAATATGCTCAGCACCATTTACAAGCCAAAACAGTCCAAAACAATTCTGAACAAATATGTGGGTTGATTTTTATGTTACAGGACAACAGGAGATGGACTTTTTCATTGGAGAAAGTGTTATTATGGATTATTAGCTCGTATTTTATCCAGAAGCAATGATTTGACGTTAAAACATATTTATGTAGTTTTTTTTTTTTTTTTTTTTTTTTGAGTACATTTTCAGCAAATTTTCATTTTTGGGTGAACTATTCCTTTAAATACTCTTTAACACGATCCTAGGCAGAGTTTCATTGGGATAAGATAACTCACCGTAGTCATAAGCGAGCGCATTGCATTGCCCACACAATTACTGTAATTACTTTTCTTGGAATGAGAAAAAGGCTATTTGCAAGAGCGCAGTAATGGCTGCCAATTTGCTTGTGATTTGCAAACGATGCATTTCTCTCGAAAAACGTCTGCAGTCAACAACGATCGGTCACCTTAATATGCTATACTCATTTAGCCACTTCTTCACTGAATTGGAGCTTTAGACACCCACTTCAAACAACGCGAGGATTTCTGGACAAATGGTTCTTGCTTTTGATGTCGCGTTTGGCCATTCAGCTTGCGTTTTAAAGACAAATAGGGTCTTTGGTATTCCACTTGTACCATGCAGAGAGGCAAACAACGCTTTGAACTACTTTGTGCTTTATTTTGATCCTTGGGTCTGACCCCCAAAATGCTGATCACAATTTCAAGAGTCTCTTCATCTTGACATTTGCTGCCTCCTCCTTGTAAGGACACATTAATATCGAATTCGCTCCCTAATGAGTAAAATCATGCATTATCCAACAACACTAATTAAACTCCAAGGTTTCCCTTAAAAGAATCCATGAATAAAATCAATAAAGATACTCTGGTTGGTTGAGAGCTGCTATTTTAAAATATTGTTTATGCTATGAATTATGTATGACTTACTTGCTGAAGTTCACTTTATAACTTTCAAACATGAGAAGTATCTGAACAAGCACATTTTCATGCTTTTTAAAGCACACGTCATAATAAGAAAATGATTTCTGGCCACTATTATTGCACAATGCAAAGCCTAGTTAGAAATCACATATACTATAAGCCTAAGACAGTGGTTTTGACATGTTTGATCAGCATTCATGGTAAACGAACAGGCCTGTTCTGATTTTGCAGTGTATAGCATGTATACTGAGCGCAGTATGTATGTTTTTTGTGTGTGTGTGTGTGAAGTGAATATCCAAATGATTTATTACATTTGGCAGAATGTGCACTATACAGCGTGCAATGCTGTATTACACAATGAAATGTTGTCGACTTGACCTTTCATTTCCAATATGACAAATGAACCAGAAATAAGCTTTTTTTTTCAGTTCAGTTCAGTTCATACATATGTGTGTGTGTGTGTGTGTGTGTGTGTATATATACTTATTTTATTTTAGTTATTTAACAAGGCAACATTTCTCTCTTTCAGTTAGTTTAACTTGATGTATTCAAATAACTAAAACGAAAACTTAAATAAAAATGAATAAAAACTAAATAGACATATTTAAGAACAACGAAAACTAATACAAATTATGAAAAGACAACAAAATTAACTAAAATGAACAAAATGAATGTCAAATTAGTGATATATATTATTATTATTATTATTATTATTATTATATTCATATAATAATTATTTTATTTCAGGTAAATTTCAATGAACAAAAATGCTTTTTTAATGGTTTTAGTTAATGACAATAACCCTGGATTGAACTACTTGAAATGATGTGTGTGTGTGTGTGTGTGTGTAAGCTATAAAATATAGAACAAAAAGTCTATGTAATATGTACAGTATATATAAATATTCATTCATTCATTCATACATACATACATAGACTTTTTGTTCCAGGATCAGCAAAACATGTCAAGAACAAAGTGAATTAATTGTGCCTTTATATCCCACATTTGCAGTTTCATTTCTCTTAATTGCGACTTAATAATCAGAATTTGAATTTCTTATTTTCATCTCTGAGGTGGAAACAAACTTCCATACTTCTCACTCATGATAAAAACAGGCTACAATAAAAACACAACCACCTCCAAGCTCAATACACGGCCATCCTGTAGACTTGATTATCTATTTTTTTCCATCGAGGCATGTTTACACATCAGCCCCTTATTGTATTTCCTGATCTTATCCCATGGCCTTTTCATTTCCTGTTACCATCTTTCATTTTGTTTCACTGGGAACCAGTGTCTCTGCCAGGCCCAGTCGACAACTCAGCGCTAAATAGCGTTTATATATTTATTTATTTTATTTTTTATTTATTAATTTTTTTTGTTCATCTCCTCCGTCTCGCTCCCATGTTTGGCTGATAGTGTAGGTAGACTCCTCTCCAAGGAAATATAAGGGTTGGCAGGGAATTCATTTAATTTATTGTACAATTGATCCCATGGAGAAATGAGAGGGGATGGAGAGGGAGGTTAGCGAGCGAGGGTTAATGCGGAGGGCTGGCTCCGTTTCAAGGGATTCTGATTGGAAATAATGGTGCAAAAGTCTCAATTTGAGGCGATTACACCGAGCTGCTTCCAGATATTTCCCTTCGTGTCAAATCTCCAGCCCTCTGTCAGCGAGGACTATAAATAGCAGTGGGAACGGATTACAATTCCACATTTGCTGGTTTAAAATTATTAGCCACTTCCGCCTTTCTTCGCCCAGGAATCCCGCCGAGAGCGCCAAATAAGTGTATCTGATAGCGTTTCCAATCTCCTATCCCGCTCTCTCAGACGGTGACATTCAGAAGCGGTCAGAAATGAAGAATGTACTTTGTCATGGTTCAGTAATTTCTAAGTATGGCCATAAAGGACTGGATTTAAGAGCAGCCTGCTTTGTGCCAGCTCTCCTCGGGAAGGGATTTTGTCTTTTTACTGTCAGCGACACCACAGAGCGAGGCGCTCTCGTGCAGGAATGACACCTGCTGAGTTATAGACGTGTCACCTTGGGTTGGTCTTCACAGGTGATATTTCAGAGTGTGGCATGGTGGGTAAAGCGCATCAGTTGTTGCTGAAATCATCTGCCGGCTGTGGGAAGAATTTACTTAGAGCTGGATCGAGCGATGCTTCGCTCAGGGGGTCAGAGTTTGGCCGGCTACATTTTTTTGCCTCGCTTTTCGGTATAAATGTGACCCTGTGAGAAAATCGCCTTTAATGTTGTCCAAATGAAGTTCTTAGCAATGCATATTACTGATCAAAAATTACGTTTTGATATATTTACGGTAGGAAATTTACCAAATATTTTCATGGAACATGATCTTTACTTAATACCCTAATGATTTTTGGCATAAAAGAAAAATCAATAATTTTGACCCATACAATGTATTTTTGGCTATTGCTACAAATATACCCCAGCGACTTAAGACTGCTTTTGTGCTCCAGGGTCATATATATCTAAACATAAAACACACACACACACACACACACACACACATATATATATAAATCTAAAAAAAAAACTGAGAAGCAAAAATGCATAAGTGATTAAGTGATTAGGTTTGTTTCCATTGAAATCTAGCAGAATTAATTAAATGAAATTTAATGAGGTTTATGCTTAAAACAAGAAAAACTACTTGTCAGTGGGGTAAGGAAAATAAAAAATGCACAAATATTTTATATAATTTGTAATATTAGATATTATATTTAAAATGATAAATTTGATTTTTTTTTTAAGCATAAACCTCACTAGTTTTTGTATGACCATGATATCATAAGAATAAAACTACTTTTTTTTTCCATACCACTGATATGACTAGAGTCTTCACTTAATGTTGGTATATAATTTAAAATGTTATTGAACTAAACTTTTTATGTGGCAAAAACACTAGATGTTAATGTGTCAAGGCCCTTGTACAGTAATGAACTGTGTGATTTGTAATAATTATGCAGTGGCCCTGAAAATTATGTGGACACTTAAAGAGACAGAAAACACAAAAACATGTTTTTAACCCCATTGACTTTCATTATATGAAAAAACAAAAAAACAGCTTCTTCAAAAATATCTTCTTTTATGTTCCGCAGAAGAGAAAAGCCATACAGGTTTAGAAAAGCATGCATAAGTTTAATTTCTGCACAATCTTCGTATCTGAATACGTCTCGAAGCCTCCGTACGGTATGAGGGTTTCTGTGCAAACATGTTTGAGTTTCTAAGGTCCACGAAGTGAAGAGTTTTGGAGTGGACCGGACTGATTGTCACTCACTTATTTTAATCCCTGTGCCTGATTGGAGGAGTCCAGCTTTGATTCCCCCGCTGTGATTCTTTCTTTTCCCCCCATTTTCCTTCCTCAGGATTTCTTTATCGCTCAGCGCTATTAAAGTGCCCTCAAAAACCTCAGGCACATGTGGGTCAAATGAAGCAGATCTCATTTCGTGGACGGCAGCTTCTCTTCTACCTACACACGCCCGCGCTCATGATCACCCGCGTCTCAATGATTACTCTTACTTTTGATGCCGAGTGTC